ATAAAAAGTTGAACAGTAAGGGAAATATGGATCTCAAAGTCTATGTACTTTGCTCTAGCAAAATAAAGACCCACCCTCAGGGAAAAGGGAGCTTTCTTGTTGAACTCCATGGTTATCTAGTTTCCAGTTAGGTTTTAGCAGATGACAGATCAGAAACAGGGAGGGGATTTGTGGTGGATAGGGCTACTAGAAGTTGATACTTCAAGAAGTGGCAGCGAACTTAGAATGCAGAGACAGCAGAATCAATAGCAATAAAGCTGTTTAGAGCTATTTAATGTAAAGTCTTGAAGATATTGTCACTTTATAGCCTAGCCAATAAATAATGTTCAAGATGGTGACACTGAGTCATCTGAAAAGAAAAGTAAAATAATGTCCAGGCAACATCACATCCCGATTAGGATGAGGTGTATTTTAGTAAAATTTCTACCTAAAATGACTTAAAAATGTATAACTGGTATAATAAAAGCAGTACATTTTAGTTTGGCTTATGTGGATCTGCTTATTCTCAAAATATGACTGATGAGGACTTATTAGACTCATGTGAGGTTAGCAGATGACTGAACCCGTGACTCTGGAGAGAAGAGGTCTCTGAGTCTCACTCTGTCGCCCAGGCTGGAGGGCAGTGGCACACTCACAGCCACTGCAGTTATGACCTGCTGGGCTCAGGCGATCCTTTCACCTCAGCCTTCCAATTAGCTGGAACGACAGGCGCGCAGCACCATTCCTGGCCAATTTTTAAAAATTTATTGTAGAGTCGAGGTCTCGCCAAGTTACCTGGGTTGGTTTTGAACCTCTGGGCTCAGGTAATCCTCCAGCCTCGACCTCCCAAAGTGCTGGGATTACAGGTGTGAGCCACTGCGCTTGGCAAGAGGTCACTTAAATAACCTGGGATTAAAATCTGTTCTCATTGCCTATCAGTTGTGGAAGTTTGAATTAATCATGGGAGCACTCGGTTTCCTTAATTATGATATGGATCTCACAATTTCTACATGTAAAGGTTGTTGTGAAGAGTTGTGTACAGAGCTTGGTGCAAAGCATGTGCAATCAACGAAGACAACATATGTAAATATTGAGAGGGAGTAATCTATCTTTATGACGTTCTCCTTCTCCCTTAAGATAGCAGTGATGGACTCATTTTACCTTTATGTATGAAGGAAGTTTTATACCAGGATCTGATCATAAGTAGGTGATCAAAACACCTGAGAGGTTCTCCATGGCTGGACTCATGCAGATTGCTGGCTGACTTCCTTTCACAAGTGACCCTACTCATTCAATTGGTGAGCTCCTCCATCCTACTGTTTCAGCACAGGCTAGCAATCTTCTCCTACAATGTAGGATCCTACAGTCCAAATAGACCTTTGAGTCAACTCCCACCTGTCTCTGCTGCTGTGTCCCTGAAAGATGAAATTGCAGATGTTTTGCTTAAACATCTAGTATGGAAGTCCTCTAGTGATTACACAGCTCCTCTCATTTTGAGTGGCTTTTACTACTAGGCTTCTGGCATTATTCTCTGTGTTCTCAATGTATTAATTTATGTAATACAACATCCCTATGAGATGGGCACAATATTTTCATCAGCTTTGGAATAAATTAGGTGCAGGGAGGATATTACCTGCTTAAAGTCACACAGCTAATGAATGGCAGAGTAAGTCCACTATGCTGCCTAAGCCTTCTTCTGAATGACAGTATCATGATGGAGGAAAGCTGTTCACCCTGTTTCCTCTTCCATGTCTGAACTATTCTTCAAATTATATTATTTTAGATTTGTCACTCTCTTATTTATTTTCCTCTGAATACTCTCTTGTGTTTCCCTAAAATTCTGGTCCTCAGAAGTGAACATGATGCTCTAGATTTATTAGCACCTAACAATTCTATTAACAAAGTCTAAGATAGCCTAAGATGGATTTACTTTTTCTTAGGCATTCAAGTTGTATTTACAGCTCGTATTCTGCATTCACTCAACCAGCTTGACTGGGCAGTTGCAGTTGCTTCACTAACTGGTCTCCCTGCTTCCATCCTTGGCCCCTTAGTGTCTGTTCTGTAAGCTGCAGCGAAAGTGACCCTATTAAAACTTTTGCCAGTTCACTTTTTGCTCGAAGCCTTCCAGTGTCTCCCCACATTGCTCAAAGTAAAGACAAACTTCTACAGTTGTCTCTAAGGCTCTCCTGGTGTGATCTCAGCTTCCTCCTTGACTTCACCTCCTGTCACTTTCCCTTGCACACTGAGCTCCAATCACAAAGACCTCTGATGTTCTTGAGATCTGCCTATATCTTTTATGCTTGCTGCTCCCATTATCTAGAAAATTCTTCTCACAGATATCCAGATGGTTTTCATCATTTCTTTCAAGTCTCTGCTTAAATGTCACTTTCTCATAGATGCCTTTCTTTTTATTTATTTATTTATTTATTTATTTATTTTTATTATAAAGATGTGGGGAACAATTCAGGGTTAGGTATACAAACACTGATTATGTAGATAGATGCCTTTCTTATGAAAATCTTTCTCCCCATCCCATAATTCTCTACCCTCTATTTTCTGCTTATTGTAAGTTATAGCATTTATCACTAACCGTGTCTTTCCTTTACCTCATCTCATGTAATATGATACTTATTAGCATATGCCCAACATCTAGAATAGTGCCTGGCTTATAGTAGGTAGTCAATAAATGATGGTTAAAGAAAGAATCGTGTTGTTTTGGACACAAAGTGTTGTTTAGGACTGCCTAAACTTGCAGTATGTGGTTGTTTCAGGAGACACTTGGATCTAGACATACCACTTTATATTTTAAAAATATTTTATTTTAAGGATGTGGGGTACAATTCAGGATTAGGTATACAAGTGGACATCATACAGGTTAAGTTTGGGCCTCCCTTTGGTCCCTACTTTGTCTGGTTTGAGATCAGGTATATATTTTGTTAACTCCCTTAATGAACTAGAAGATGTACTGTGTCTTTGGACTTCTAAAAAATGATTGTATTTCTTTCTTTTTTTTTTTTTAACCATAGAGGACATAAAGCAGGCAGGCACCATCTGACTTTTTCTTAGTGAATCCCTAATAAACCAGAGATATATTTTTCAAGGTTCAAACCACATTCTAAAAATTATACTTTATAGTTTTGTTAGGTATCATGGTCAAACTCTTCCCTCTATTTGCAAAATCTATGTTCCCCCAACCCTTTTGAAAACTAGAACATCTTTCCTGCATCTCTAGTCTCCTAATTTTTTTCTGGTTCTCCATTCTTTTTCAAAGACAGTACATTCCTATAGGCCATGCCCTCTATCTTTAGTAAATTATTTTCATTCTCAGAATGGGTTCAGAGAAAATACTTCTGGGAAACTTGCAAAATATTGACATCTCTATGAAGCGTGAACAAAAACTCCAACATTTCAGTCAGTGTTTGCAGTTGGCCACTGTGAGTTAGTTTTCCTACAGAATCACTGTAGACAATTTTCCCTTTTCTCTTGCTTCTCAAAGTTTCTTGGTTTCTAGCATTTTCCTTCCTCACTGTTGGCCCAGGCTCCTTGTCTACCTATTTTTAGCTTTCAGATTTCATAGCTTGTTTTTTAAAAATTTCCATTTGATCATGTTAACCATGTTTTCTGCCTCAGTGAATTCAGTTTGGACTGCTCTTTTTTTTCTCCCCCTAAACCCAAGTGCTTCATTTGGGAAGTTACCTGAGAGGAGATTTGTTCCAACTTGTTTGTGTGTTTGTTTGAGTTGGGGTCTTACTCTGCACCCAGGCTGGAGTGCAGTGGCAATGATCATGGCTTACTGCAGCCTCAGCCTCCTGGGCTCAGGTGATCCTTCCACCTCAACCTCCCAAGTAGCTTGAACTACAGGCGTGTGCCACTACACCCAGTTATTATTATTTTTTTTGTAGAGATAAGATCTCGCTATGTTGCCCAGGCTGGTCTTGAACTCATGGGCTCAAATGATTCTTCCACTTTGACCTCCCAAAGTGCTGGGATTACAGGTGTGAGCCACCCCATCTGGCCCCAACTTTTATTGAAGTGAGATTCCAACTCTTTTTTAAACAAAACTTTATTATAGAGATGTGGGGTACAAGTCAGGATTAGGTACATAAGCAATGTACGTGCAGGTAAAGTTTGGGCCTCCAACTGATCCCCACTTCCCCTGATTTAGGACTAGGTATTCTTAGTGTTGTTACGTTCCCCCCACCCCAGTGTCCTGTGACTGACAATCCCTCCCTTGTGCTAACATTCCATGTCTTTGTTCAGAAACTTACATACTGTCCCCTTTTTCTTACCTGTTTTTTCCTCCTAGTGTGTAGGAGAAGTAAATGGAATGTGGGGGGAGCTTTTCTGAAACTTCTGCGTGGATTTTTTTCTCCCTGCATCTCACTTTCATTTAACATTCTTTATTAGTATTATTTAAATTTGTCAACTGCCTTATTTCTTAAAAGGATAGTGTACCCTTGATTGAATAACATGAAAAGTAATGAGTCCACCTTTTTTTTTTGATGTGGTAGAACCAGATCCATCCTCTTCACCAAAGGCACAAGGCCCCCTGCTGCTTTTTTAATCTAGGCCTCCATTGTTGCTCTTAGACTGTTGTCTACAACTTAGTTAAGGACCTATATTCTTGAGTCAGACTGCATGGATCCATGTCTTAGCTCTGCCACTTATTAGGTGAGTGAGGTTTAGCAATTTATATAATTTATATGATCCATATAATCCATGAAATAGTGATAAAACATTTGCCTATAGCTTTATTGTGATGCTTAAATGAGATATCACAACACAGAGTACTTGAACAGTTGGTGTTTTCCTATTCTACAATAATATGTATAACACTGGAATAAGGAGAAGCTGAGTACAGTTTTTTTTAAAAGGCTTGATTATTGCCATGTCACCTGAACCTGGAAGACTTGTTTTTCTAGGTGAAGAAATTCTTTCTCTGTGTGAAGGTTTCATAATCACAGTTAAGCAGGCCCATGAGTCTGGCCATTTAAAGTGGCTCCTTTCTTTCACCCGTGACTCTCATGCCTACACCCTGGGACTGAGGACACCAAGCTCCTGAGATTTGACGGGATAACCACTAAAATCTCTCTGAATTCTAAGTTGTCATGATCTCATTACTGTGGATGGCCAGAACTTGACATGAGCACTCTTGGGATTTCATGTCATCTGGAGGCATTCTTATTTCCATGTGAACTTGACTGAGTTTTGAATAGGTAAGTGAAAGGGAAGGAGGCCCACAGTGAAGTCAGTCATACAACCAGTGTTTCACATGGTCGTTTGAGAAGTAAAAAATGAGCTTTATAAAGTGTTCCAGGTCGGGTACAGTGGCTCACGTCTGTAATCCCAACACTTCGGGAGAACGAGGTGGGAGGATTGCCTGAGTTCAGGATTTTGAGACCAGTCTGGGCAGCGTAGTGAGACTTCATTTCTACGAAAAAAAAAACCAAAACATTAGCTGGGCGTGGTGGCACGTACTTGTAGTCCCAGCTGCTTGAAAGACTGAGGTGGAAGGATCACCTGAACCCAGGAGGTCGAGGCTGTGGTGAGCTGTGGTTGTGCCACTGTACTCTAGCATGGGTGACAGAGTGAGATTTTAACTAAAAAATAAGTAAATTAAGTTTTCCAAAGTCAGATCAGGAGAGTTAACCTGGGGAGTAGAGAGTTAGTCTTAAAATTGTAAAAACCGGCCATGGAAATGAAAACTTAGAAAAAATGAATTCCATAATGACAAGGGCAAAGTCATTTGTTTGGAAGGGAAAATGTTATCCAAGTAGAGTTTCTGTGAATATGAGCTTGAAATAAAACTAAGTGAGGAAATAACTGTTAATGGAATTGTCTGAAAGACATATAAGCACCAACATTATCCCCATGATCCTTAATTTTAGACATCTTTGGTCATTGTAAAATTATAACACCTTCAGTATATTTTTAGACAGCTTTTTAGGAACATATTAACCAAATGTTCATGTTTTGATTTGGCTATAAAGTAATAAGAAAGCTAAGGTTCTCTAGGATTAATGAATAACGTTTGCTTATTTGCTTTACTTTAAAAATTATTTGAAAACCTCTTATATATCTGTTCGTTCCAGGATGAACTTTATATTGGTGCAGCAAACAGTTTACTGTTTTCTTCTTCTTCTCTTTTCTTCTTCTTCTTCTTCTTCTTCTTCTTCTTCTTCTTCTTCTTCTTCTTCTTCTTCTTCTTCTTTCTCTCTCTCTCTCTCTCTCTCTCTCTCTCTCTCTCTCTCTCTCTCTCTTTTTTGGGCTTTCCTGCTTAGTGCCCAACCCAAGTTCAAAGGCTGATGAGAGAGAAAAATCTCATGAGGAGATTTTACTCTAGGGAAAGTTGTTCAGTGGATGTGATCTTGGCTCACAGGGGAAGATGTCAGGCTCTTCCTGGCTCATTCTCAGCCTCGTTGTGGTAACTGCTGCTCAGTCCACCCCAGAGGAACAAGTCAAGACATTTTTGGACAAGTTTAACCAAGAAGCTGAAGACCTTTATCATCAAAGTTCACTTGCTGCTTGGAATTATAACACCAATATTACCGAAGAGAATAGCCAACAGATGGTGAGTTCTCATGACTACATAGGGGTATTTGTTCCTTCTTAAAGATTAGATTACTGCTATAAAGCTGAAAAGGGAAATCTAAGAAATGCTCTGAGTTGTGAGGTTGGATGTTTGCCTTCATATCTCTGATTCTGGAGTCCCAGATGACTAAACTTAATTGACCTTAGGGTTCGTTTGGAAAATTGTTACAAAATAGTTCTCTGGTCTCAGTCCAGATTCTTGGAAACAAGTGAATCTACTTTATAAAGCTGCCAGTAGAATTCTCATCATAGTCAGGGTTTCAAAGCATTTCATAGAAATGCCATTAATTATTGACTTAATCATTTCTTCTAGCCTACAATATCAACAGGACTATCTAAAGATTCTCTACAAATGATACATCCACTGAAAAATGCAACTGGAAGCTTAGTGAAAGAACCAGCTAGTAATTAAGCTGATCATGGGTTGGATAAGGCTGGACTTGGGAATTCCTTGCCTCATTGTCACAGAGCTCTGAGGGACTTTCAAAGGTCACAGAATACAGCCAGAACTCTCCAAAAAAAAAAAACAAACCCAAACCCATGATTAAACAAGTTCTGACAAATCTCAGAATACTCTGGGAAAGCAAAATGCTTTGTTTGACAAGTGTAAGAATTTAGGAATTTTTTCTCTAACAAAGCATTTAAGTGCTGAAAAAAATCAAACAAAATATTTAAGAAAATATTTTTGTGGCACTTATTCACCAATCATTTCCTTTAGAAATGTAGTTCAGAAGCTTGCTTACTTTTTCAAACAATTCGTGGGTTACATGTTTAAATTAATTACTGTCATTCACTGAACAGACAAAATCTGAGATCTACTGCTACATTTAAAATCCCCCAAGATATATTTTTTTCTATTTTTCTAAAGTTCAAGAAAACCCAGGAGTTTTTGACAGCCCAATGTAGTTATAGAAGATTTTTTTATTGTCTCATATTTTGGTCTTGCCTTTTAAAAAATCTCTTCATCTCTTAATTCTTGTTTTTTTTTCCTCATTTTTATTTGATCTCTGCTGAAAGTGAACACAGTGTATTATGTATTCATTTCCATTCTCAGTTGAATGGTTCATAAGTGGTGATGAGTGTATATTAATGATGTGCCCAAGAGCTCTGGAGCCAGACTGCCTATGTATAAACCCTAGCATTATTAGTTTTTAGCTGGGTGAACTTGGGCTAGTTAATTCACCTCTCAGTGCCTTCATTTTTTTTTTATCAGTGAAAAAGAAGATAAATCTCATATCTGACTCATAGAGTCGCTACGAAGACTAAATTAACATACAAAACCACCAGAATAGTGCTGGGTGCTTGTGCACGCAGAAGAACAGTAAGATGTCATTATTATTAGTGTGAGAGGGAGTTAGGATTTTTGAAGAGACATATAATAATAGTTCATTGAGAGCCCAGATGCTGAGAAGGCATGCCATAGAATGAGATGTAATGATGTCTGCTGAAACTATCTCTGGATCAAAGTGCTATCATTTTAAAATTATACTAGCTGATTACAGCAAAGAACAGAAATGAAAGAGCATAAATCACTAAGTATGGCTGAACTGGAAAAAAGTACGGGTCGTTTAAAGGAAAAGTGGGGATATTCAAATGCAAGAAACAAGAAAGGGGCCTGACACCTTCTTCATCAAGCAATCGTGAGGGATGCATTAGTGCCCTTAGGTGAAATTGTGTGGGTTCACCTGGGGAAGAAGGTGGATGGAGAGGGAAATGGCTCCTCCTTGTATTCTTTGGTCACATATATTGAGATCCCTTGATGCAATGGCCACTGTGGCAGGAACTATGAGAGGTAGATAGGTAGATGAGCAGACTGCTGAGATACGGTTCGTTACAAGGGTAGTCAGTGCACATATAGCCAAGTGTGGCCTCTGGGGACAGTCTATTCACATGCTAGCTCTAACTCTTACAAGCTGAAGTTCTTGAGCAAGTTTCTTAACTTTTTTCGGTCCTAGTTTCTTCATCTGTAAAATGAAAACGATTGTGACCATAATAATAGTAATATAGTATATACTGTAAAGAATTGCTGAAGTTAACAATTATACGGTGTATGTGTGATCTTTTTTTTTTTTTTGAGTTGTAGTCTCACTCTGTCTCCCAGGTTGGAGGGCAGTGCACGCTCCCAACCAACGCAGCCTCGATCTGCTGGGCTCCTGATAACCTTCTGCCTCAGCCTTCCAAGTAGCCGGAATTACAGGTGCGTGCTACCACGCCCAGCTAGTTTTTGATTTATTGTAGAGACGAGGTCTCGCCATGTGGCCCGGGTGGGTCTCGAACCCGCGGGCTCAGGCAATCCACTCGCCTCGGCCTCCCAAAATGCTGGGATTATAGGCTGAGCCACCGAGCTCGGCCGTATGTGTGTTCTTGACACTTGATACCGTGTCTGGGACTTAGCCTTTTTAAACATCGACATTGGCAACAACAATATTATTATTCAGGGGCTTTGCATTCTGAAAAGCTCACAGTCTCACTGCTATCTCAAGTGAGCAATTCTAAAATAAAGATTTACTTGAAAAAGTTCGAGCTGGGGGAACCAGGCGTCTCCACTTCTGAGGCTCTTCTGAGATTCACAGAGCAGCTGCTTAGGGGAATATGAGCCAGAAGCAGCCATAATGTTTTTCTTGTTTTTGGCCTGCTTCCTGGCCTGCAGGCAGTAGAAAGCCCTGGGTCAAGAATTGAGAAACATTAACCTCCATCTATGTATCTATCTTGACAGCAAACCTTCCCTGAACAAAGGGGAGACTTTGTTCTCAATAAATTAAGACTTCTGCCTTTACCCTATGTCTTATAAAAGACCAGAATTAATTCTTCTGAGGCACACATTCACTCACTAAATTAAAAACAGTGTGGATTTATTTTAATGAGATTATCTGATGATCAAGTTTATTTTCTTTGGCGATAACTATAAATGAACTTCTTGGACCGAGAAAAAAACTTGCTCTGTAATCCCCAGTGTTTAATATTTGATAAGAAATAACCCATTCTTAACTAAAAATGAGTAAAATATTTGAAGTTACCATTAATATTTTGAAGGTCATTTAGTGTTTTGAATTTTGGTTTTGTGATAAGTTTATTACCTCAAGGAAAGTTTGCAAATTCTGAAAAAAGTTCTCCAATAAAATAAATGTTTATAATATGCCACAAGGCAGGTTTTTGGAAGATCATTAATACACAGACAAGTGTTTGGAAAAAATGATCTCAAACTATAAGCAACGCATAATTTAAGTCACCCAAAATTGTGATATATAGTAAAATTATACAAATTAAAACTGACCTAGAAAATTCATGTTGTGTATACATTGGCTGTTCCTGGCAGCTGATGAACCATCAGAGATCATTTTGACTCAGACCAAAAAGCTAGAAGTTTGAAGATTGTCCTCTGAAGACTTTAACTTAATGAGTTTCCATGACCATAAGGGGTAGCATCATCCAGAAAGTTCTGGAAATAAAAGAGAGAACATTATCCCATGCCTTTAGGAACACAATGCTGGTGGTCATGTTTAAAGGAATAATTTTAGACATGGAGACTGTTCCTTTCCTCCACCACCACCACCACCACCACCACCAAAAAAAAAAAAAATCTGAATGATTTAAGAGGATCAGTGAAAATTGGGAGCTGCACAAAGCCTGACTCAAAAGAAAAAAAACAAGTCTGAGATGGAACAAGAAAGGATAGTGTTCACAGTTGCACAAAAAAGGTGGTACCTCTGAAAATTCAAAGAGAAATTTAGAATACGCAGAAGGAAGTGCCATTTGCATTACAGGTGGTAAAACTGGTAAGACTTGTAAAACAGGGCCATTCTTTAATCTAAAAAAAAAGTGAGACACTGAAATCTACAAATACATTGTGAAGTATGGAAGCAAATGTATGGATTGCAGATTCATAGTAGGTGAGGAAGTGTGGTCAATTGCATTGATGGATCAGTTCTTCACCTTTTCCTATAATAATGACCCAGGTCTTGTCACTGTATCCTTGACCATGTGATTTGCTTTGACCAATGGGATGTTAGCAGATGTGAGGCAAGTAGAGGCTTGGAATGGACTTGAATAACAGGACTTGTCCTTTACACCTTTGCCTTTGTCATGAGAACCTGCTTGGGCTAGCCAACTAAATTAGAAAGACACGTGGAGTAGTTGCTTCAGCAGAAGCCAACCCCCAGAATTGAAAGCAAATCCAATCAAGATCAGCAGAGCTGCCTGCCAACCCCCAGTGATTCTAGATAGGTAAACAACAACCACCTAAGCCACCAAGGTTCTGGCTGTTCATTATGCAGTGTTAATGTAGCAATAGATAAACTGATTCAGAAAGGAACATTTGGATTGCATGACACATGTATGTTCATATCCTGTCAGAGTGACACTGTTGAGAACAATCTGCCATTTCTGCATTTTTCTCTGATGTAACTTTCCAGAGTCAGACTATTGGGCTTGTCAACTTATGGATCTGACCTAGTATGGTAATCCCAATATCAAGTTGTAAGGATATATCTTAAAATAATAGCGGGCATTAAAATGTGTTCAGTATGGGCCAGGCACAGTGACAGAGGCCTGTAATTGTAGCACTTTGGGAGGCTGAGGTGAGAGGATTGCTTGAGTGCAGGAGTTCAAGACCAGCCCAACTCTACAAAAAAAAAAAAATCAAAAAATTAACCAGGCATGGTGGTGTGTGCTTGTAGTCCCAGCTACTCAGGAGGCTAAAGTGGATCGCCTGAGCCCAGAAGGTTGAGGCTGCAGTGAGCCATGATCATGCCACTGCACTCCAGCCTGGGTTACAGAATAAAATCCCAACTCAACAAACAAACAAACTTGATCTGTATAGTGTAATAAAAGCTGCCTACCTAAGAGTGTGCAGGGGTCTATAAGAATTGAGGAAAAAAACTTGGTTAAAACAGGTTTACAGGTTTGCAAAGCTCTCTCTCTTTCTCTGCCATTGTGATGTGTGTGGTTGACTCCATTTCTTACCAGGTCTTCTCATAAGAC